TTAGATTTTCACGTTGTTAATAAAAGGTGGGAGAAGTTGCGGGGTACGGCTGGTTTAACAAATAATAGATCGCTCTGTTGTGTATTAAAATTTTGATACGTCTTAGTAAAGAGGTCTTTTGACCTTAAAGCTTTGAACGGTCGTCAAAAATTTTAGGCATTATTTCAACGATATGTCGCAAGGCCGTCGCCCACGCCGAACAAATAGATATTGTAATTCCATTCCCGTTTCTCGCTTGGCCCACAAAAGGTTACGATGATTTCATGCCTGAGAGTTGATGTCATGACAACGGCAGCGGACTCCATTTGAATTAAGAGCGGGCCAAAGATTCTGGCAGGCCGGGCGGGAGAAAGAGAAGAGTAGTCACTTTTATAACGTGTGCTTCATATTCTCCCATTCATTCGGGAACATTCCCAGCTCCTCTCTTTCTCTCTCTACGTACCTGAGCATTAATTTAATATGCACAATATGAATGCGGAATGACACTGGTTCAGTATTTGGCTCAGTATTTGGGCGTCCGCCTGAAGTTCAGTTTATTCATAGCGGCACTGGTAAAATTGTGCAATGCACTACTGAACCAAACACGTGATAGGAATTATTGGAATTAATTAAAATTTCATAACACAATTTTAAATTCCAATTAATTCCAACAATTACTATAATGTGCTTGATTAAATCGATAATTAAAACTATTTTGTAGATATGATGATATGAGCCGTAATAGCTCAGTGTCCGGACGCTCGCCTTTAATTCAATATACTCGAGCAACCTGAGTTCGATCCCCGGTGCCGGCACCAATGAAGTTTTTAACTTTAAGTGCTGACTTAACACGTGCTCCGCGGTGAAGGAAAACATCGTGGGGAAACCTGAATATTTTCGAAATAATAACAAATTGAAACTTAACCCGTCTTATTAAAAAGGAGGCTTAATAGAATACGATATAGATTTTTCTAAAATTTTTAATCATTAATTATATTGAGAACTCGTTAATAAACCTGTGGATATAACAAATTGAATAGGTTATTCAATTTGTTGGTTAACACCCGTTAATGATGTAGATTGTTACGATGAAAAAAAATCCCCTTCTTTGTCATGTTAATTATTAATCGTATTAGTTCATTGGTAAAAGAATTAAGCAATTTATAAAAGCAAGAAGCAACAATTTAGAAATGTTGATAAAAGTGATACGAGACAAGGAAATAAAGATCACTTTGAAGAATATACGATAGAACATACGGATGGTAGAAAAGAAGTGAAGTTCTACATCGTTTGTCCAAAAGCAGACGCACGCACTATCGCAATATGAGATAATGAGTAAAAATTGCCAATATCAATCCAAATTGGATTAGAACTATGGACAGCATTGAATTCCGTTTACGTTCTGTTAGAATTACACGATGTTTCGTAAATTCGAGCAGCCTGACGTGGCCTTAAGGCGTGAGAGTTTCCATATGGTATTGAATATGGAATTTTTATAACAGTATTTCACATATCAAGCGGTGAAATTACGAACGCCGTTCGGCCGCACCCATAGCGTTTGTGCGACGCTCAACAAACCGGAAACGCATGTTCAACATAATGTTGGAGATTTGTGAATCGAGCCAATCGACAGATTTGGCTCGGAACTATTTTTTATTTACACTCCGCCTAGCCGTGCGGTCGCCTGTCGATTGTTGCATTATGTATTATGGCTGATGACAAAAGATATTTTTTCTTTATTAACGTTTAGCTCGAAGTGAACCGAGTTAGCGCGACTAACACCACTACACATGACGTCTTTTGCTGTGGTGGGGCCACGTAACGTTCATCACTGTTGCATGGATGGACAGGTGCGTCCGGGAAAGTACCACGACCTCACAGAAGACCGACGTGAAGTAGAAGCGGTATATTATTCCAACCAAGATGGAGTCGAGGTGGTGGTGAAGTGGCGTTGCGTTTAGTCGACGCTCGGATGATAAGAAGAGTGTTCTTATCGTCCGAGACTCGGTGGGGTTGCACAGATGCGGCAGTGATGGTGCTGCTGGGGGAGTAGAATGTCGGTATTGTGATGCTCCGTTCTCTCTTTCATCCGCAGCCAAACATTATAAGCCGGGAAGCTTGCTGCTTGTTAGCACCGGAAGCCTTGCTTCCATAAGCTCTCTCAGCGGATTTAGGGGAGTCTATCGCTTATGCAAAAGGGTTCGAGTAGGTCATTCCACAACTGCGATGATAATGTGCTTATTACCTGTCATATCGGTCGAAACCGTCTTTAGTGGATATATTATTCTAGCTCGATGCTAACCAATGTCTCACAACTACAATCCTGAACTAGTTTATTCTTATTAAAACCTGTATACTGTAGATGGCATAATGTTGCAGAGGCTTCTGCTATAATATGAACGCATTAAATAGAGAAATATCAATGCGACCTTGTGGAGTAGAAGTCCGATGATTACTGTGAATGGAGACACCCTTTTTGAACGGTCATAAAGCTTCAGATTTTGAAGATATTCAATGGCGGCAGTGATGATAAACAGCAGGCGAAATTTCTCCTAAAAACTAGCAAATGCACCTAGCTCTATAAGCCATGACGCGAGTTCGGCAAGCGTCGGAGTGCGCGTTACCTCGCGTTCGGTTAACAGCCCGAAAAGCCATCTCGGTAGTAAACGCGCGGACGGAGATTTACGGCGTCGTTGTACGCGCGGACGGGATCGTTTACCGTAAATCGATAGGCGCGTACCGCCCATACAAACGCTGCGTTCTACTTTCGGGTCTGTACCAATTTTGCCTTTCGGTTTGTCAGTTTCATTAACCTTTTGTAACCGCAAATTTTCACAAACAACCCTAGAAAAATAAATGCACTTTTAATGTTTTAATGCCTAAAGCGCTCTACTGTTCTCCTCTTTGGGGTACGTTGTACTGATCCAGTTTAGCTATGAAAATGTTTTAAGTGGAACATTAGGTATGCATGAAGTACTGGGAAAAAATGTTTGCTATGGAATAAGACAATGGTTTTTGAAGAGATACTTGTCACTGAATAAATCATTTGCAAATAAATTTTTTGTCGTTATATTTCAAATTTTAAACGTTTAAACGGGATGGGATAGTTACACTTGACGATAAACTTTTCTTGTTAGGTAATAGTTAACACTGCTACCAATTACACCTACATACAAGTTTTTATATGCATATAATGTATGTAATACGCGATTCTCGTGCTAAATTGATTTTCAGTCACTACGTTTGGGTAATTAGACTTACTACTTCATTAAACTTTAAAATTGTTCCTGCCAAATTCGAATAACAAAACCGACTCCATCGGACAAATTATAAAGGAATAACGTAAGTACACTTTGACAATTGACAGTTGCACTCATCATACTCACTACACACACATACACAAAATGTAAGCTTTCGTTTTTATTTGCTTGTGGTTTAATTTGTTTACGGTGGTAGGGCCACGCAGCAGCCTCGGCTGTTGCACGAATGGGCAGGCCCGTCCGGGTAAGTACCACGACCTCACAGAAGACCAGCGTAAAGTGGAAGTGTGACGAATACTTTCGCGTTTCGTCTGGTGAGTGAGGTAGCCGGAGCCCAATTTTCAAAAGGCTGTCAACGCATCTGTAACCCTCAGGTGTAGTAGATGTCCATGGGCGGCGGTATTCACTTAACATCAGGTGAACCATCTGCTCGTTTGGCAACTTATCACAAAAAAAAAAATTGTATAAATTTTATTTTTGTGGGTGATCATATTATGTTATTTAAAGGTGTTTGACAGAGAGTCTTAAAAAGTGAGGCTAAGCTATTATTCTGTAAAAAGGATCCGAAGTTTCTACAGCAATTGGAAACAAATACAAGCCTTCTCATAGAAAAAGAATTTTCGGAACGTGCAATTTTTCCATAATTTCTCATCGTTTAAACCTTCCCTGGATTGCCAAAGCCTTAGGATATGAATTGATTGATCAAAGCCTTAGGATGTGAATTGTTTGGCATTTGAATATGACTATTAAATTGATATTGCGCTGCAAACTGTATTTACCTAGTTTTTATATATCAGTGTACGTATATTAGCGTACTAATATATTTATATATTAGTAAGTGTAAAACATCCCTTAGACTTGGCCTATCGTAATAGTACGCCTGCTAACATTAGTCGGAGAGAGTATTGCTATGCAGAAGCGACCCTATGTACATTATTCATTACGGATGTTTTTGTAGTCTCTATTTAATCAGAGTGGTTGCTAAAATAATTTTAAGTTTAGTCAGATTGACTAGAACCATCGCTGACCTGTCTTTAACATATCTGCTATTTTATTCGTTGCAATTTTTTTTTATGTTTTGATGTATTTGACGTGTTGTTTGAAAGGGCTATCTAAGTAGAGAGGGATTAAACAATGTTTAAGCTATCTTAAGATGTCCTGATTATAAATAAGGTATAATTATGCAACTTTAAAAGACGCTGAAACAATAATCAATCAGTAATAAATTTGTAAGGTAAAGTACATCACGCTAATTAGACAAGATGGCGTCGCACTATTGTTGCTATTAGTTCAGCATATGAATATAAGTATACATATATGTACATAGTTCCGAACATCACGCGAGAGTAAAGAGCAACCATGCTGGGTAACCTGTTGGCACATCTAGACAACACCATATACATAATATACGTAGTTTGATATATCCCCATTTTAGTGCCTTATTTCACCGTTGGAAATCTTGTTATAATGTGGTCATAAATATGTTAAGATAACCCGAAAACCTAAACTCCCACATGTATTGAAAATTGAACAATGTACGTCATAAATACTACAACTGTCGTCCAGGGGCAAATTAAGGTTTCGTTCTCTACGATTCTATGACGTCTACTTTACCACTTGTGTACATCATCAACCAAAATTATAAATGGGTAGATCATGGAATATCCCACCCCTATGACCATTTATAATTTACTAGATAGACATATATTCCGCGTAGTGTAGCATACGTAGAGGGTGTTGTGTGAACCACGACCGCTTCTAGCGTAGACAACCCCTAGGGTTGCTTGCAGTGTGGCGGGTGTGAAACTTGGTGCTCCCGCAGGGCGGGGGTGGCGAGAGGCGCGCGGGGCGCACCAAGCGGCCCTCAGGCTGCTCGTCCGCTTCCGGTTCTCTGGGCAGGGGCGCCGTCTCCGACCCTGATCTCCAGAGCCGGCTGCAGCCCAACCTCAACGCGTACTGGGTACGTATGCAAACCTCGGATCCAACGTTTGGCCAATGTTGGTCCAAAAGTTCAAAGCAACCCATTTGGTCAAACGTTCTCACAACATATAATACCATTATCTGTGTCCAAATGTAAACTGATCAAAGCTCTTTGAGAAATTTGCCAATTTACTTTTTTCGTTTATTTCATTCTTCATTTGGACACAATATAAACTACAATTGGCTTGTTGTAATGCACTATAGAATTCTAGGTATTAGCTGCTATTTTTTATAGTTATTGAAACGATAATGTTTTCAGAGATGATCACTAATTTCTTTAATAATTTACAATAACTTGTGTTTTACTGTGTAACGAACGAATAAAAATTAACAAACGAATAAAAAGCCTGGTTTTTGTCTCTAAAAATCTTTCTTTGTTTGATTTGCGCCTAATTGTGGCACCATCGAAATGATGCAGTGTTTATTCTAAAATTTGTGAAAATAATATGAATTTCCAAGTTACTTTAGAGAATTAAAAATTTTAAAAATGAAGAAAGTCGTAGAAATAAAGATTAGTTGCAATCATTCACACAATACAATACTGAAAATCTTGTATCGGCTTTTCGTTTTACGAGGTGAGGGTAGCTTAATGAACTTAGTTAATTTAGTTTGGAATAATTAATTTTCCTCGTTATGTTCTATTGCGTTGAGATGCGCATAAGCCTCGTCTACGGGTGATTCGTCGTTCAACTGTGGATAGCCAAGCTCATATTATGCGCGACTCATTGTCACTGGCCATGCTTAATAAACTTCCAAATTCAAATCTATTCAATTTCAGCGTAACCCTACCGAAATTCCGTTTCTGTCTTTAGGGTGCTTTGCGCTATTCGGTGCATGCCTAACGCCGGATGAAAGCTGTACCCATCAAAATAAAGTAGGGTTCGAGTAGTTATCGCGTTGACCAAGTTCGTCATTTTAACCTGCACTTATTATGCAGTCCCATCATCACTTCTATGAAGCTTAGATGGGTAAATAGGGATTTGTTTCACCAATGTTATTTGGTCTACAATACAATATTAAGTTATTTATAAGGTTACCTTTTCACGAAATTCGGTCCGAAACAGCGGCGTTAGATTACGAATCAGACGATACAGGTTTCAAGTTTATAACCCCAATTTTATACCTCTTGACCCTCTGTAGCAGACCCTCTGGAATCAGCAGTCGCCGGCGGTCTTTCCGAACAGTTGCAACCTGGGAACCTTCAAGAAGAGAGAATATTCTTTCCTGAAAGGTCCGGCAACGCATTTGCGAGCCCACCGACGTTGCCACTGATTTTTAAGGGCGGCTTTGATCAATTTAGATAGAGCCTCCTGCAAGTCTGTCCCCTTTTTCTTTTAAAAAAAATTCACATCGATTTCTCTGAAAGTTAAAAGTTGGGGTATCGGTTGCGCACCGAAATTTTCGCTGGCCCTGTGACCTGTGTGATATTGCGCTATATAAATAGTACTAACCCGTGGGTTCTGGCTAGCCCACCGGTTCTACATTCGATGAAGCTTTAATAGTTTCGGGACTGAAAGAGTTAACATCAGTTAATACAAGAGTAAATCGTCCATTATATAGTACGGCAAAAGACATAAGATGCATCGCCGTCTTCCAACCCACGTTCCAACAAGATCCATCAGCCATTGTCACCATTCGAATGTGTTTCATTTGCTGCGCAATTATTAGGTGTGCGGCGACTCACCCACTGAGGATTTGTCCTTAAACTTTTCGACGGGGACGAGTCCGAGCGGCGAGCGCTTACCGAAAATTAGATTTTTTTTATTACCAACACTTACCAAACGAACGCGGCGCGGGCGCGATGCAAAATGACCCCAAAGGCCATACACATAAGACCGATGAGCTCATTACCGTCCGGCCTGTCCGTGCGCGTTATTTATTGCACATTGCGTAGATACAAGTTCCCAGACGTTATTCTAATATAATTCGTATATCGAAATGCCGAATAGTTTTAATAGAAATCACTGACATTGTTTATGTTGGAGTACCGTCTTCAATGCGGCTCTCAAACTTTTCCCGTTTTATGTATATTTATTATTCTTCGTTTTTTATTATTCGTTGTTATAGTGAGATGTTTTGTTGGAAACGGTGAAAATGCTTTGGACTGTCAAGTTTCAATACAGTTTAATTACTAAACATCAATTTGGAGTCGTAATTTTATAGCATATCATAGACATCATCTATAATTATTTTGTTTGTTACAAAGTTCACGTTACTATTATACATATAATTATTTAAGATTTACGTATATCATCGACGTAAGAGACAGAATTAGGAGTTCTATTAATCAGAAGTTATAAAAGCTTATAAGAAGCGAAATTAATGGACTACTGGCTATTATCGGAGAATGGCAGATATGTGGGCATTGTGAATTTTATACCTTTCAGGTTTTATACTACTGTCTTACCCTAATGTGTAGTTTTTATGATAGACACTTAAGCATAGCAGACGGTAAACAACAAATTTACGGGAAATTTCTTCCATAAAGTGGCTACTGCTAATCAAATTTCCCGATATTTGTGACTGCATTATAGTAAACAAACTGTTTTGGCATAGTTTTTACAGTTCGCTCACCTTATTGTAGTAAGCACTACATAGTTGATTAAAGTAGTGTACTAATTTTCAATAACACGGAAAATTTTCACCTCTTTCAACAGCAAATCCATAATGCTATAAAAACCCGTTATAAGAGAATAATGGCAAAGTTTGAGAAGCGCCCTCACCGATCCGAGTCTCTCGTGTTTTATGGCGTATTATGCTATAATAATATTTTTTACTTAGCACATTTGTTTATACCTGCGCGCCGCGTGTGTGTGCGTGCGCACAGTCGCGCGGGAGTACGCGTGCGTTTGTGCGCGGGCGAGGAGAACACGTAGAAGTATAAAAATGTCGTTTGCTGTTACGTGAACCGCTAAATCTAATCCGGAGTTTTATGCTCTTTCGCGGTATTGAGTTGTGTTTGTCGGCGGCTGTGTTTCCAACATGGCCGCCTAGTCTGCGGCGGCCCCCAATTAGCGACGCGCACAACGATCGCCCTTTGTTACCGGATGATTTACGCCCCGCTCGTCTGTTCGGTGTTCGGGTGTTGCAATGCGCGTTACTCATATCGGTTTGACCGCTTCGGCTTTCGGTTCGCGTAGGAGAGTACAACTGAAATTTATTCGCCAGTACGCAACACAAAATCCAACGTAAGACCACTGGTCCTACTCAATGCCGTCTTAGGCCATATCGGGGCCCTAGGGCACACAAATTTGGGCCCTGATGGAAAGTAAAAAAAGTTAATGACAAAAACAATTTCTGCTATTCTTGTTTTTTATTCGTTCTATAATCTTCTGTCGGAGTATATCTACCAAGAATTGAGAAAAGGTTTCTATAGCTTAAGCAATTTACGTAGCCCCACACGTGCCCCCGTGTGGGGTGGCAAAGATGGTACTGGTCCTACTTAGGCTAAAGTGAACGCAGTAGTGCGGAAAGTACATTAAGGTACCGTACGATTAAGTACAATAAAGCTCGTGAGTTCTGGCTAGCTCTAGACCTCTGCAAAGCCGGCCGATTGCGAGTCAGACTCGCGCATACGAAGGGTTCCATTATCTATAAAAACGGCAAAAAAATCATGTCTGTTGTATGGGAGCCCCACTTAAATATTTTTTATTATTTGTTGTTATAGCGGCAATAGAAGTACATCATCTGTGAAAATTTCAAGTGTCTAACTATCACGATTCATGAGATGCAACCTGCCGACAGACGGACAGACAGACAAAGAGCGGAGTCTTACTTATAGTTTCTGATTTACCTATTGTGTACGGAACCCTAAAAACGAGTTGCAGCCAGCGTTGTATTTCCGGACCGATACGACTTAGGAACCTTCAAGAAGAGAGCCTACTCCTACCTTAAAGGTCGGCTTTGTGTCTCAACCAGTGTTGGCTTACCATCAGCTGTACCGTTTGCTCGTTTGCCTCCTATTTTCCATAATAAAAAAACGATTTCCGCTCTTAACAGGATTGACAATGGGGCTCAATGTAGATACAGTAATAGAGTCAGCTATGGTCAGGTGGATGGGGTGGCTGGGGGTTACGATAATATGGGCGCGAATGGCTACGGAATGATCCGTTTTTTTGGAACCCTCGTTTGAAAGTCACCGATTGATATGCGAGAACGGTGTACGGTGACAGATTTATCATCCGTCGTGTTGGGGGTTAAATAAACTTGAGCGTTAAAAGATTTGATATTGCATTTGAGAGATGAAATTGGGGTGCGGTTACAAAGTGCGACAATGACGCCAATTCTCATTGAAATTCTGTATTCAATTGATCTCTCATTAGAGTCATCTAATATTTGGATTTACTAAAGTAATATATGTATTGCCACGCGATGGCTCGGGTTTATAAATATATTCTTTTTATGTGAAAACTTGCCAAAAGAACAGACGGTTCACCTGGTGGTAAGTGAATACCGCCGCCCATGGACATCTGCCACACCCGTGGGTTACAGATGCGTTGACAACCTTTTGAAAATTAGTCTCCGGCTACTCACTCACTAGACGAAACGCGGAACTATTTGTCATACTTTCACTTTACGCTGGTCTTCTGTGGGGTCGTGGTACTAACCCGGACGGGTCTGCCCATTCGTGCAAAAGCCGAGGCTGCTGCGTGGCCCTACCACCGTAAAAATAATAATATAAAAAGAATAATCAAAATTTCCATGCTTATATATGATATTAATATATGTATAAATTAGCGAATATAAAATACGTGATTGATTATTTGGAAGGAAAACCCAAACCCTGGGTTTGCATATGTTTGTGTATATATAAGCATATAATAGAAGGGAGGCCGACTTTTATAAAACTTAATCTACTAATATTTATGTTTCGGAATTATAAAATATTATCTTTTTTAATGGTACAGGCCGTTTTGTTAATGGATAAAGTATATTTGCATAAGTTAAAAATACAGTGCTTACTTAAAGTATGCGTTACCTGAATTCAAACAAACCAACAACATACATAGAGACAAATTATAACACCTACCTGTGTTATATAGATA